GGCGCTGTCCTCCTCCTCCTCCTCCTCCTCCTCCTCCTCCTCCTCCCTTGTCCCTCCTCCTCTCCCTCCTCCTTGTGTCTGGGCTGTTCCTGCTCGCTGCTGGGTCCTCGGAAGCGGCGGGGGGCGAGCATGACGGCGTCAGGCAGGAGGAGATCGACAAGGAGCTCAAGAAGATCGAGGAGGAGGTGAGGGAGAGGCGATGACGACTGATAGCGCATGCTGTCCATGACTGTTGCTGCAGATCGAGACGCTGAGGAAAGAGCACGAGGACGTGTTCCACAAGGGAGACAAGGACAAGGACGGGCTGCTGTCGCTTCAAGAGTTCATGGTAGTACAACATGAGGACCAGCCTGAGATGAGCAAGGAAGAGCTGGAGGAGTCATTTGCCGATCACGATGCTGATGGATCAGGAGGGCTGACGCTCGAGGAGTGGCGGAAGCCCTTCGAGGACACAGTGCAGAACATCTACGCGAACGAGGAGGAGGGGCTGGACGACGAGCACAACATCAACCACTACCGCAGGGAGTTCGAGGCCTTCGACAAGGATGCGGACGGGTTCCTGGACCTCGCTGAGCTGGAGGAGCTGGCCAAGGAGATCAGCAAGCACCACGGGAACCACACGGTGACGGGAGAAGACATCCTAAGAGCCGTTGACAACGATGCTGACGGCAAAGTGAACCTCGAGGTCACCAGCCCCTCCCTCCTCTCCTGCTCCTGCTCCTGCTTCCCCTCCTCCCTCCCTCCCTCTCCTGCTCCTGCTTCCCCTCCTCCCTCCCTCTTCTCTTCTGCTCTTCCCTTTATCTCCATTTTATCAAACACTCTCCTGCTGTTGTTCTGTCTTCCTTGCTCCTGTACCACTTCTCCTTCCTCCTACTCTACCCTCCTCCCTCCTCCTCTCTCTTTGTCCTCCTCCTCCTCCCTCCTTTGCCCTCCTATCCTCCCTTCTCCTCGGTGTCGAGGCTGACGTGAGCACAGGAGTATCTCATGGATGGTCAGGAGGACGAGGAGCTTCATCATTATCCTTCCGAGCATGAGGACGTGAGACTAGAGAGGGGAGGAGAGAAGAGAGGGAAGGGATGAGGGAAGACAGAGGCAGGAGAGGAGGGGAAGTGCTTGAGTGAGCTCGGGAGGAGGGAGGGAGGGAGGGAGGGAGGGAGGGATGATGATGATGATGATGATGATGATGATGATGAGGGGGTTTGATTGGATAGTTTTTCAGGACCCGGATGCTTCCGACATCTCTTTGGAGAAGATCACTAGTGACGATGATCTTGGGGAGTAAAGCAGAGAATAACGTTGCTGTCCTCCCTTCTCCCCTCCTCCCCCCCCCACTCCTTCCTCGCCTCCCACCGTCCTTCCCTCTCCTTCTCCTCCTCATTCCATCCCTCGTCCTACTACCGTACCTCCACCTCCTCTCCCCCTCCCCCCCCTTCCTGTCCTCTGCCCTCCTTCCTCCCCAGTCATCTCCTCTTCCTCCTCTTCCTCCTCCCCATCTTCTCGTCCTCTTCTCTCTCGCGCAATCGTAGGGATTGTTAATAACGGAAACACGCAGCTCTCAGCCAGCAGCCGCTCCCTCCCTCTTCCCTCCTCCTCCCTGAGCTGCCCAGCGAGACCACTAGGTAGTGCAGCAGCAAAACGAGGAGACGCAAGAGAGGAGGAGGAGGAGCGGGATGAGGAGGAGGAGCCTAGGAGCTTTGGAGCCAGCACGGCAGACAACAGCAGGAGGAGGACGCCCCAGGTTCGCCTCCCTTCTTGTCCTGCATACCAGACGATCCTTCACTCCTTCCACCTGAAACATCATCAGATACCTCCCTCCTCCTCCCTCCTCCTCCCTCATCCACTGCCTTGTCCTCCCCATTGTCTTCCTCCCTCCCTCCTCCCTCCTCCCTCCTCCCTCCTCCTCCTCCTCCTCTCACTTTTCGCGTCCTGCATGGAGTTGAACGAGGGGTCCATGAAGGCCTGAGGCGGGACTGAGGGCTCCCTGGGTTCAGCTGGGCGGGTCATATCGATGAGCAGCTCGTCGACAGCTGGGCGCTCGATGGGCTGAAACTCGTTGGCGGATTGATCGAGAAGCGTGTCGGACAGCTGGGGGAGAAGTCAGAGGAGGTGGGATGATGATGATGATGACGATGATGGAGTTGATGATGATGATGATGATGATGATGATGATGATGATGATCATGATACTGATGATGATGATGATGAGGAAGAAGAGTAGTAGTAGGAGGAGTAGAAGGAGGAGGAGGATGAAGAAGAGGGAGAAGAAGTAGGAGAGGACAAGGAAAGAGAGAGTGTGCGGGTTTACGTGACGGTTGTCGGAGAAGTTGAGGGCGCGGACGGAGGACGGAGGGTCGAAACGAGAAAACTCGATGTCTGATGCCTGGAGGAGAGTGAGAGTGAGACGATGATGATGATGAGGAGGAGAGTGAGAGTGAGACGAGGACGAGGAGGATGGGGAGGAGGAGGAGGAGAGAGGGGGAGGAGGAGCGAGGGGGAGGAGGAGCGAGGGGGAGGAGGAGAGAGGGGGAGGAGGAGAGAGGGGGAGGAAGACCCTGGATCCGATGGGAGACGGAGTAACGCTATGCCTTGGCGTTGCGAAA